CACCACTTATACACAAGAACAGAAATCTGCAGTTTCTTGGTAAATATCTTTGTCAGCAGAAGCCAAGATGCTCCCAGGCTGTACGACTTGGCACAGATAGCATGCTGAAGGTCAAATAAATTTTGGATGTACAGGTCATGAGAGCATGATGAGATGCAGACAATGGAGCATCAATCATCATGCTGAACACCAGAATCTGGGTCAAATCCAATTATCTGCAGTGGGTAAGAGGGCTGCAAGCTCTGAGAAGCTTAGAGAACCTTTATTGACTTGGAGTTTCAAGTTTCAGGATAAGCAGACACATTTTCTGTCCAGTTCAAACATAACACACAGATAAGGAGTAGATCCCTGTAGCAACTTGAGATATCCACCTTGCTAAACAGCAAAATCTATATGGAATAGTCACATGTTAACCAACAAATACCAAAACCAGAAACAAATTTCATTAAAATCAGAAAAATATGAACAACAACAACCAGGACAAGACAAAGAAAACTACAATTTTTAATGGAAAGTAAGGCAGAGTATATGTGTTTCCTCTGTAAAAGGTAGCACTTGAACATAATGGTGAAGGAAATTGTTTCAAAGTAAAATAAGCTGTTATTACTGATATTTATGTTTTTGTGCTAGCAGTGGTAAATTTTTCCAGGATAAAATCTTTTGTCATTCAAAAAACTATTTCTTGACAAAAACTTCATATTCCATACTGAGGAACTCCACTTGCAGAATCAAACATAATTAATACAAGGAATAAAATTATATCTTACTGGTACTGGTTATGATCTATGGCAGCAGACTTGTTTGTTTGGGGTGGTTTTTCAGCTGTAATTGTATCATCACATTGTAAAAAGTTGCTGTCATTTCAGTACAACAGATTCTCAGCTAAATGAACTAAACAGTCTTGTTTAGTCATTATGATAATTATAACTGTTTCTTCTTCTGTACTAGAGAAACTTAGGATAGTAATAAATTAGGATGGTTAAGTGCTGAGGAAATAGAGCTTACAATTTAAGTGGCAAGCGTCCCCTTTGCAGGTTTAGTTAAAGACTGGATACTAGTCATTTTTGTGACAAAGGTATTAACTGTGCAGAAGAACAAAATAATGACATTCTGCACTGTCTCAAGTACATTCAGTTCACAATTTTTAGAGAGCATTCAAAGCAAATGTATTCTCAGTTTGTATGAGAACAAGACCCCAGGGACAAAAATTTTTGATGTTGATACAGAAATCTTGAAGGACAGAGTATACAAAAGGCTGTGCATTCTTCCCTGTAGTCTGCAGTTAAGGGAGGCAAGCTGGAACCTTTTATTGTGTAGCTTGATCACATGGCTGGAATCTTGCACAAGGCTTCAGGAAGAATAAAACCTGACTATGCTGACCCAAGCCAGCTGCAGATTGCAAAAAGGAGATTCATGTTAAAGAAATACATCAAATACATCTTTCTTTATCCCATTCTTTTATTCAGAAGCTTTCTAGAAGTAATTTAGTGAACCTCTGAACTATGACAAATTGCTAGAAACCTTTTGAAATCATCCCTCAAGAACTTCAGGCACAGGTCCTGTGATAGATTTAGGTGTCTAGTTCCTCTAGCAATTGGTGGGAAACTGGGACCAAAATAAAGGCTACAGTCCTAAACAAATTTGTATATCTGAGCCACAAGTACTTGCACTCACCAAAGAAGGTCAGCAAAGCTTTGTCATATTAAGAAGGATTACAGTTCTGCAGTTATGTAAACAGTTGCAGACAGTCCATCTGCTATTGTGCTTTAATAAAAATATGCTCAAAGCCTTTGTAGTGACTTCAGATTATGAAAATATTAACAACAATTATATTCTGTGGTTTATTGTTACATTTGGCATCTCTCAAGGATAATATCCCTGGACTAGATTTTTGCTGCTCCAAACTTTCCCAAATCTGCACTAATTATTTGCACTAATTCTAAAATGTTGACAACTAACTGAAAACTGTGTGTGAGACAATCTATACATAGAAAGGAAATAAATCTGAAAATGTGGAAAAGGAATAGACAAATAAGGATGTATAAAGTACTTCAGTGATGCAAGGTTAGACTTCAAAATGAAATATATGTTGACATATTTAAGGCTGTTCTGAGGTAAGGTTCTGTGAAATTAATTATATTTTAAGTGCTCAAACTAGCAAAATTTCTTTTCATATGCATGTTTTACAGTTCAAATTTAGTGTTTTGTAGAGTCAAATAATTACTATTGCATCACCACAGTCAAAACAGAATGTAGCTAATTAAGGTGCTCAGGACCCACTGCAAATTATTTTTTTTAGGTCTTACCTTTCCTTTTGAAAAGTAAATCAGCAATTCCATCTCCTTACTTTCAAAGAAAATCATGAAGATGTAACCAAGCACAGTCAACTCATAAAATGCACAAAGTGATTGAAAGCAAAGAGTAATTCTCCAGCCTATGAACTTCCTCATATAGGTTCATGGGCTGTAAATGACAAACTCAATTGCAAGAAAAGAAGGGGATCCAACTCACATTGCTGACATCCCAGCCAGCAACTCAACCTCATTCTGCAGCCCTCTCACTCCCCCACCAGCAGGATAAGGGAGAGAATCTGAAGGCAAAAATTAGAAAACTCATGGGTTGAGATAAAGACAGTTTCATAGGTAAAGCAAAAGTCAAGCGCACAAGCAGAGCAAAACTGGGAATTGATTCATCACTGCCCATGGGCAGGCAGGTGCTCAGCCATCCCCAAAAAAGAAGACCATCATGTGTCATGGTTATGTGGAAAGATGTAAGTCTGACTGTCCCCACCTTGCTCCTTCTTCCCCCCATTTATAAACTAAGCATGATGTCATATGGTATGGAAAATCCCTTTGGTCAGTTAGGGTCAGCTCCCAGCTCTCTTCCTAAAATCATCACAGTCTTAGACCTTTTGCTTTGAAAGTCATCCTGGCACAGACTTGTAGTAAGTGCTAAACAAAAGATTCTGAACATCCACACAGAAATTTACTCTGGTTTTCCATTTTTTTTTCCCCAAGGAAGTATTTAAGAAAATAAGTTGTTAGAAAGCAACCCCCCAGATTTTATCTCAGAAAATCAGTCTTATTGTATTTTTCTTTATGTAAATTACTGGAAAACTCAGATAGTAAAATCCTCAAGTTTGAATAGAAGATAGAACAGTAATACTTCATTCTTGGGAAACCACTATTCAATTTTTTTTTCACAAAGGAATGAAGATCATTGCTTTGATAAGATACTCAAAATTGAATACTGTCCCAGGCTTCTCTGACCTGCATGAAAAACGATTGCCAAGTACAGAACTACCATTATCTCATTCTGGAGCATCCAGTCTGAAATATTCATCTGAAATGTCAAAGCTGCTTTGGTTTAAAAGACCTGGCAAAATGTACAAACAAGTGCAGTTCCATTTCTCACACTTGCTGTTGTCACTAGTGCTATCTGCAGCCAACTGTGAGATGGGAAGAGGAAGAAGAAAGAAGAAAAAGCTGTTTTATCTTTGTCACTTTGTTCTGCCCATGTTCATTTGATTGTTATGGCATCATTTTTTCAGTGGCTGCCAAAGACTTGTAACCGAAAAGAATCAATTTGGTCATTCAAATGAGTAATTTTGGAAGTAGTCAGCAAAAAAAAAATCCAGTTATAGTTTGACATCTGCTCAATTCCTGCTGTCAGTGCAGTGGCACAAGAAAGGTCTCAATGATAAACTAAACTAAAAAAAAAATGCTGATTCTTACAGAAACATCCCAAAACCACTAAGATCTGAAGGACTGAGAGAAACTGGGAATTGCATGTTCTCAGACTGTATAGGTTTGAGCATAAGAAAAACCTGCCCAGCAAAAAAACCACCTCCCAATAAAACTCCTAACAACCCCAAAACCCCCCAAAAAATGCCAAAACCCCCAAACAAATCCAACAAACAACAACAAAACAGATAAACAAACAAGCAAAACCTCAAAAAACCCAATCAAAGCCAGAGAATTTCAGTGCTGCAAAACAAGTTGGTTTTGTTTCTCATATTTCTATAATCTAGGGCCTCAAATGAAGTGATCATTTTTACCTCCTGGTCATCAGCTTCTGGATGCAACTCAAGAACAGCCAGACATGATAGGTCAAATGGAATGAAGCTTGACCTATTGCTGGGATTTCATGATGGTACTTAACTAAAACATCTCTCTGCTTCTCCCTTCTGTTTACTCTCCTCATGTTGGGTGCCTGTCAGGACTGGGTAATACAGGACATAGACTCTCAAAACATTTACAGAAGGCTGATCGTAATCTTTATTAAGAGACCCCATTCTGTTTGCTACAGGTGGACTTGATTGGTCCTTTAATTAAAATACCATCACCACTGGCTAATTAAGAAACCATCCTTTGGTAAATAAATCTCCATAACACACTCCACATGTTCCCAAACACCAGGTGCAGCAGGTGAAGATTAGAATTGTTTCTCATTGTTTTCTCTGATCTTCTCACAGCCTTTCCCAGAACGATGCCTGGGAAAGTTGTCTGTTTCTCTCTGTGGCCAGAGAGCTGCTGCCGCAGGTGTCTTTTCTTTTTGTCAATTATCTCTATCTTCACAGCCTTTCCCTTTAAATTGAATAGATAACACTCATAACCAAAAATGATAAGCTGTGCTTTCCATCACATGAATTCTCAGTGTTTGACTCTCCTGACTCTGTTGTTAACTCCAAAGAATTGGCACTGAACACAATCTCATTACAGGTTCTGGCGAACTAAGGAATCAAGATCACTGCTCTGGTTGTACCAGATATTTTCACTGTAGGCATCCAACAACTAAACTTGTACACAAAAATTCTTAGTGTTTCTCTGAGTCACTACATTTCAAGAATTTCTCATCTGATGTTGTAGCCTTCATGCTTAGTTCTTAAAATATTACTTGGTTGCAAGCAATAGACAAATAGCACCATTCTGCACCCCCTGCACTCCCTTCTTCACCAGCAGGAAGAAAGAAACATTTCTTTCTGTCTTCAGAGTTAGATCTAGAGACATGTTATGAACATTTTTTGTCTACAGTTGTGTTTATCTAAGGTGATTTCAATGATAAGAGCTTCTGTTCAGTGGGAAACAATTCCAGGTGAGCTACATTTCCTTCATCACATCTTTACTAATGCTATAAAGCAGCAGGGATCCATACTTAATTTCTGCAGCTGTTTAGGGTTTCTTTTTTAGTTTTATAAAATATAGACAATTTCTAGTATGATCTGCTTGCAAATTCCCAAAGAATTGTTTCTTTGGGGCCCATAAAGCATATATTTAAGCGTATTTCAGCCAGAAAATTTATTTTATGTGGTTTTTATTCTTTGAAAATTCTCACTGTAGGCTCAGAGTTCTTTTTATTTTTTACCTTATATTTTTCTTTTAAAAATGTAAATATATTCACATTTTAGTCTTGTGTCTTGAATTCTGTTTAGTTAGACATTTTTATTCAACTTTTTTTATAACAATTCCTTCTTTTCTGTGGCAAAAACATTCATAAATACAGTTATTGAAAAAAAAATCCTGGAAAATTAAATTCCAGACCACTGATTTATATTTTTATATAATTGTTCTTTTACACAGATTCCAGAAAATAAATCAAGAAGGAAAATAAAAAGCCCCTAACAGCAGCAACAACAAAAACCCATCAAAACCTAGAAAGCTGACAGTCTAGAAACCATTGTACTGATTACCACAACTTGAGTATGTCCATAAGTTTCTTGAGACAGTCATGCTGGTCAAAAAGATGCCAGGAACCACATTAGCATATTAAAAACTCAGATAATCACCTGCTTATGACTGGGACATTGATAATTTTGCTGCTACAGAAATAGTCTGGTAATCAGCAGTCTGCTGGCATGTGGTGTCCAAAGCATCCTGTGCTTTGCAGTACAGATCCTGTAACTTTCAATTCTTTTGATCCTTGAATTATTTTGATTCTTGAACAACTGTAGTAACTTATCAGAGATTTCCATGATTTTTGAAGGAGTTTTCATGCAGACTTGAGAACTCTCTGTTTTAAAAGATGGTAAATTTTCTGTTGACGTGTCCTTGTATTGGTCCATTTATGTCTTCTTTGTATAGAACAAGATGTTATAAGGCAGAGCAGCATTTCCTGAACTTTGGCAGCTCTGATTTCATAGAAGACTTATGATGACTTTGTACAACTAGACATGTAGTATTGAAAATATTGATTTTTGAATTTTAATTTATTTTCCCCCTCTCTTTAGTGGCTTCAAGACCCAACGAACTCAGAATTGTTGCCTCCTATGATTGTTATAGAAAGCCCTGTCAGGGTGGCATATTTCATTCATCATTGTCAGAGTCAGTCTTCCTAGCAGAAAACAGAAAATGCTTTAACTGCTTCTTGTTGTTGCTTGAAGGCCATTAGAAAAAAAAGAAACCAAAATAAAATACAATATTGCTAGAACTATTGTCCTTATTTAGAAAGTCACAAGACATCATGTATCCCCATATTAGGACTTGTACAGAGTAGATTTAAATTTATTCTGAATGAAATCACTTTGTGGTTTTCCCTTTAAGTTTTCCACTGTTTCTATTTCTAATGAAATCAACCACGCTTCACACAATGTCATCTCAAAAACTCAGAGCTGCTTACAGCTTCATTATATAAGGTTTTGGAACTTTTAAGCTTCTTTTTGTGCAGCTGCATTTGAACTGGCATCTAACCCTTCTGAAACATCATTTGAAGCCAGGTGGGATCTCCAAGAGCACCTCTGGGACAGCTCAAAACGCCTCAATTTACAGAACTGACTTTGTGCACTTATGAAAGGAGGTTGCTACACATTTATTTGTAAGTTTCTACCACTTCACTGGGTATTTTGATTCCTGTTATAATCAGTGAAAATGTACTCAATGCACTCAGGGAATTCAAAATCCCAATTAAAGAGATATCCAAGACTTGATTAACCCAATTCCTCTGTGACATGACTATAACAATGGTGCCTTCTGTAACTAAGGGTATCTGAATTGATTTTTTGATATACAGCTGAATACTGTCCTTAATTAATAAAAAAGCAAAATGCAATTGTGTGGCACTGGAAGTTCCATTTCTGGGGGTTGGAACAGCATGTGCTGCTTGTGCAGACACTACAGAAGCTAAGAGAAATCTCTAACTCTTATCATAGTATTTTCTCTGGGGTGTAAAACAGTAAATATTTGGTGTTCAGCTTATGCTGAAAAGGGATAATAGCCTAAAAATACTAACATTTTACTGCAGCTCCCTTGTATATAGTGCAAGACCAAAAGAAGGTGCCCATACGTCAGGTTGCACAGAAAGCACAGGACAAAAGCACATGGGAATGCATTAAAATGATATCACTCTAATCACAGTTTCTTCTGACAGGCTCATTTCTTTCCTGCATGTAATCAGCATCTGACTTGCTGTGTTTTTGCCAGGTGTCTCAGCCCTTCCAGAGCTGCAGCAGCCCCAGCAATGTCCATGAACACCTGCCACTTTCACACTCTGGAGAGAAAGTACCGAGGATGTTGCGAGGCCTTGAATGGGAAGAGTGATTTTGCACCTCCAGGCCAAACAGCTGTGTTACCCCAGCACTGCCATTTAGTCAGCATTTATCTTATTTTCTTACATGAAAGCAATGCTTAGGATCTAAATAGAATTCTTCATCTCCAAAGAGTTAAACAAACCTTGGTAATTAATCCATACAGAATCCTGCAAAGATGCTTTCTTTTCAAATGCAAAGACTCTACAGGTCTGCTTAAACCAAAGTATAAAGCAAACATAAGTGGAGATCTCTGTTGAGCTCTGAAGACTGGATCACTGACAACAGCAACAGTTTTATCTCTCTTCTATTATACATCTTTTCCAAGGTTTAAAAATAAGACCTTTTTTTTGAATGTTATTTTAAGAAATATTTAAGCTAAAAGATATAAGGATATAAGGTAAAATTATAAAAGTTAATAAAAGATGAAATTAGTAACATTTTTTCTTTAAATCACCTTGTAACATAATATACTTACGTGTTTTTTCTTTGAAGGCAAAGTTTTAGGGATTTTAAAAATATCTAATAATAAATTTTCTCAAATATGCTTGCTGCTTCCACAAATCACTAATTTAAATAACTTAGTAGAAAGCTCATTGTGGTGCGTGGCCTGCTGCACTACTCTCCCTAAGTTAAGGTACATCTTAAAGCATCATGAATCTTATGCAATGACACAAGATGAGCCTTTATTCTGAATTTTCAAGAATCTGCTTGACAAGGCAGCTGTCTAACAGCTGTAGGAAAGAAAAAAATACAGATGAAGGCTGTCCCCTGCCTTCTGCCTCTCCCAGCAATTTACTACTCTGGTAAGCTTTTTGTGCTTAAACACAATTTCCTAAAAGCTGTTTGAGAGGTTTTCTGAGCCTTCAGAAGTTTTTGTGGTTTTGTTAGGGAAAGGTGGAGTCACTTATTTGGGTTGGTATTCACCTGCTTGTGCTTCTGTGTCTTCAGGAGGTGGAACTGTGTGTGGTGCTGAAAACTGTCTTTTGAAGAATTAATATTAAGATTTAACATGCACAAATTTCTCATGATACTTACTTTCCACAGAAAATCATAGCAAAGCACCAAGATTAGATTTTCTGATTATTTATATCAGATGGTGTCTGCAGTGGCTGAGGTACTGTTTGAGAAACAAATGGCTCAGGACATATGGCATTAAGTGACTTTTGGCAAACCTATAGAGCAAGGCATATGGCATATGATAACCTTGAAGGAAGAAATGTCTCCTTGTATCTTGTTAAATCATATGATAAATTGATCTCTGAAGCTATTTCTTGACAGAAACTTGAAAAACAACATTCTTTAGATAGTATAAGTTGGAGGGGTTTTGTGCTTATTTTACTACCCAAATGTGACTGCTAATTATGTCTAATTGGCAAATAAAGAAACTACTTTTTGTGTGGGTGAACTGGTTATATGGACATGAAAAAGAACAGCATCTTGTCAGCTATTTCCTTGTTTTATATAATCCCATCAGATGAGGGTACCAGAGCATTTTACACACCTTAAGTAAATCTCACAGAAATGTTACAAAAAAAGTTTGTTAAAAGTTTGAACAAGAATCTTTTGGTTTTAGGTAAGTGGCCTCAGTATCAAAATAATGAATAAATTAATTTAAGCAAGAAAATGCTATCTTTTCTCCTAGACTTTTGTTTAAATATTATGCTGAGATAATTTTCTGGCACGTAAAGAAAATTATGTTCAAATTGTGTATAAGATACAGGTAATTCCTATGTATAAGTTACTGAACTGAAATAATTTCATATCACATTATCATTAAACAGCATTACAATTTTAAAAAAGAGAACTAGGAGTATTCACAACACAAAGATTTTATGCTACACAGTCTTGCTGCAAATTCTATAGAAAATTAGTTATCAAAGTTGTAAATAAATCTCTTTTCCTAATCAATTTATTTCACTCAGAAAGACAGATTTTCCAAGGCAAAGACATTACTTTGATGTGTAGTGATAAAACAAAAGGGTGTTTAATGACAGTTTCAAGCCACACGTAGAAAGGCTGTTAATTTTATGATGGAATATCCAGTTCTCATTACTAACAGAACTTTAATAAAAATTGAACCCTATTTTCCCTACAAGAAAAATAAATTAGGGATATAGATTTGACTTTCTCAAGTTTAAAGATGTTTTTTTGTAGGATCAGGATGAACATGAAGCACCTTGAAGCATATAAACCTAAAAGTATCCAGAAATCATGTTGTGTTATTTCCTTAATCTGCATCAGAATAATTTCATGGTCTGTCTAAGATTGGCACTGGAACTGGTTTTGTAGTCTAGAGTGACTATTTGCATGGCCAGAATAGCCAGTTTGGAGGTAAGCATATTTCTACATCAGTTTTGTACTCAAAAACTTTCCTGATGGAAGTCTTTGTGCAATTACAGCTGAGAGGATTTTTTTAGAAGAGGTTGGACTCAGTTCAGCATACTGAATAGCACTTCCAAATATCAGGGCTGTGCCTACCAGGAGATGCAGCCAACTGGAATACACCAATTCCAGTTGTGTTGCCTACAGAGTTTACTGCAGCCCACAGAAAGCTGGTTATAGGAAAACTGACAGCACCTGAACTGATAAATATTTTGGAAATTTCAGTTGCCTTCACAGTGAATTTGTTCCTTACAATCAAGCCCATCTAAAATTAGTTAATTTACTGGGTTTGGCTGGAGCATTTTCTTCATAGTGGTTGGTATGAGGCTGTGATTTGGGTCTGTGCAGGAAGCAGTGTGGATAATGCAGTGATGTTTTAGTTATTAGTGAGCAGTGTTCATACAGGGTCAAGGCCTTTCCTACTCCTCACCCCATCCCACCCGTGAGAAGGCTGGGAGTGCACAAGGAGCTGGGAGGGGACACAGTCAGGACAAATAATCCCAACAGACCAGAGGGATATCCCAAACCATATGGCAATAAAACTAGAGGAAAGGTTGGAGAGGAAGCCACTGCCTGGGGACTGGCTTTGCATTGGTTGGCTGGCAGTGAACAATTGTCTTAATTTCATCACTTCCCTCTCTTGGGTTTTGATTCTCTGTCTTTGTTATCTTCCTTTTCATGACTTAATATTTTTTTCTTAAGTTATTTCATTTCAATTATTATACTCTTCTTATCTCAACTCATGAGTTTTCTCATTTTTACCCTTCAAATTCTCTTCCCCATCTCACAGAGGGGTGGGAGAGTTAGCAAGCAGCTGTGTGGAGCTTAGTTGCCAGCTGGAGTTAAATCATAACTGTCATATAATCTAACCATTCATTTAAACTTTTCTTTCACTCAGTATATAAAAGGGAAAACCTACAGGCTTTTTTTTTTTTTTTGTAAGGTAGATACCACAGTCAAACTTTTAAAACCCACTTGAAAATTTGGACTAGACACTAAACCTGTAGATGGAAAAAACTATGTCAAATGAATCTCATAAAGTAACATCTATTCATCATCAAAGAAAAATTTTCTATAGCTTCAAAAGCGGAATCTGCCTTTGACCTTGAGGGCTAATAGAACATATCTGATTCCATGTCCACAGAGCCAAAAAGAACTATGTGTGTACCTTTAATAGGCTCTGGAACTGGGGACTGGGGCTGTGATGTGGGCCCTGTAAGCTGCTGTAAAAATGCAGAACACCCTCAGACTCTACGGAAGCTAATGAGGGGCAGGGGTCAGCCTCACCTTTCTGGTCAGAAGAAGATGAAAGCAGCATTTCTGCTCAAAGACCTTCCTAGCTAATTATGCTGTACATTTCCATGGACAAAGTATTGACCTCCCTACATCACTAGGAATTGTGTCTTCAATTTTAATAGAAACCAAATTACACTGTAAGCATCTAACTGACCACATTAATGCACATATAACCTGGGAAATAATAGGAATAAATCATTAGGTAAGTTTGATCCTATTTAGACTATTTAAAGACAAGTTCAGGTTGTAGAACATGTATAGGTATTCCTGCAATGAATATGTAATAAATGGATTTAATAAAATTAAAATTAAACAATCATAAATTCAAATTTATTTTCATTAGATTAATATAATTTTCAATTATTCATTAAATGTAATTAAAAAAATAAACTATACTCTTCAAACTCCAATTGTATCTTCTTACACCGATGATTTTATAATTACAAAGGAAAATGATTCTAACAGAAAGGAAATTGTTTGCAAAAAGGTGTTAAAATTAATTTTTGTTAGGATAGCACACCAAATACATTTTAATAAAGCAGTCAGGCTGGGATTGGACACAAGATCTGTAACAGGCACATTTAAAGACTAGCTCCCATCTTCCAAAAATAAACCACTTGTGTAGATTTTAATTATGAACTGACATCATTAAAAAGAAATGACCTTACACAATCTTGATTCAGAACATGCATACTTTATATGAAATTTTATATTACAGCTAATGCATTGCAAATAATTACCTTATTCAACTGCTTAAACAGACTTTTCTATACTTCATAAGGAAAAATAAACATCATCATGTAGACCCAGGCTTTTATAGAAGGAATTCTGCCTCCTCTTCTCAATTCTTCCATCAGTCTCTTGCCTGTTTAATGGAAATTGCTTGCAGATCTTATGTGGACATGATATTTATATAAATAGAATTTGTAAATTAAACTGATTCACTTTTTCATTTCTGTTGCAAATCTACCTACCCTCTCATATCCTTCACTGATCACACTTTAGTTCATGTATTGATGATCCTGACTGTTGGTTGCACCTGAAAACCCTGCACCACCAATAGCTGGGTGCACACAGAGCACACAGAAAGACCAAGGAGCAAAAGATATCTTCTTCTTTGAACTGACAGGATTCTGAGCTGCTATTTTTCCCAGACTGTTCCCAAAATGGCCTGGCAGGATGCTAAATCATGATGCTGGAGAGGCACAGAACAGGATGGCTGGACAGCAGCACTGGCAGTGTTCTGCCTGCCCTCTGCCCCTCAGCCCCTGGTTTGGGGAGCAGCTCTGGGAGAGAGGTTGCTGCTGCCACCACCCCTTTGCCTCTGCATTCCTGAAATCTCCCTCTCTGTACACATTTTCATCATCACAAACTTCACCAAGTCACCCGGGCAGGGAGGAGGAACTTAGCCAGCTCCTTTGTTCTACTGACAGTTTGTTCACATTCTGCTTATTTATCTTTTTTAATGATGCACCCAGCATTACATGAACAGGGTATGCTAACTTCCTAATTATATAAT